AGAAAACCGACGACTCCATTCAGAAAACTTTCTCTCCTATTTGCGGCAACTTTTAACCCAAACCGACCATAATTTAAAAGAGATAAATAAGGTTTATTTTACTTCTACTCCCAGCGGACAAACCGGATTAAGGGTGTCTTTGGCATTTCTCGCTACTTTTCAAGTTCTTAACCCCCAAGTCAAATTTTATCATATAGATACGTTATTATTACAAGCAGGAACCGAAAATTGCCTCAGCATGTTAACCATTGACAGCCGTGGAAATAAATATCATATTGCAGTTTATCAAAATAAAAAGTGTTTATTAACTAACCAAATTATCCAGCAAGCAGAGTTAACCAAAATAAGAGAAAAATTTCCTGATTTCAGAATTCTCCAAGATTTTCAAGGAGCAGTTTTTTTAACCAATTTCCAGAAATTAAAAGAGAATTTTTTGAGATTGAAAAAAATTGCGGAAATTAGTTATTAAACAGTTCTTTCTTTTTTTTTTCTTATAATCAATATTGTTAATAATCCTACTACCGCTAATAATCCACTACCCACCACTCAACCAGTCGGGAAATTTTTGCCGGATTGTGGTTGTTGAGTATTCTGGTTGGTTTGCAGAAGTTGTTTTATTTGCTCGTTAATTTCCTCAACCAGGGCCTCAATTTGCTCCTTACTTTCACATTTTTCTAATTGTTCTTCTCAGTTTTGATATTGTGGGGGTAAATCAGAAGTTTTTAAGTTATTTTTTTGTAGAGACTGGTGGATTTGATTTTTGATAGTAGAAATTTCTTGTTTAACGAACCCTTGCTTTTTTTCTGCATTTTTTTTAAACTCTTCTAATTCTTTTTGTTTTTTTGCAATCTTGGCTTGATTTTCCGCTTGTTGTTGGGGAGAAGTAAAGGTTTGATTTTTTAAATCTTGGATCTCGGATTCCAAGTTAATAATTCCTAATTTTTTGATAATTTCGTTAAGCAAATGTTTTTCCATTTTACTTAAATAAACAATTTTTTCCATTTCTTCCAGTGCTTCTTTACCTTTTTCTAACTCGTGCTTTTCTAATCCTTTTAACATGTCCTCCGCTGTTCTTCCTCTTGACATTATGAAAGAAATTTCTTGTTGATAAGGTAATGTTTTGTCAAAGATAGCCTGTAATTCATTTTTAGCCTCTTGTAAATTACTATAACTCTACTCAAATTAAATGTCCACTTTTCTATATTCCCATCAACCCATAGCAACCATTTTAACAAATCAAACTTTCCCCTCCCTTTCGGCTTGTTCATCTATTTTTAAAACAATACGACGAACAAAACGATAAGTGGGCTTTTCGCTCTCATTAATTAATTTTACTAAATTGTCTTGCAAACACTTCTTAAAATACTTGGTTAAATCCTCTTTATCCAGCCTTTCCATC